GGGGGGGCAAAAGGAACAGAAATGCCAGACATCTACCCAGCAGGCAAATTTCACACAAGCCTCTGCATATATCTTAACAGGGCAGTAAAACAGAAGGGTACATATGAAATAACTTCCTGCAGAATAGGGAAATCTCATGCTCCTGCCCTTCTCTTGATCTCCCTGGGAATTTGGTATCTACAGGAAATTCAGGTTTTCCAGCTGCCTTTTTCCCTTCCTCCTATTCCTCACTCTTCCTCTTACAACTCCAGTTTTGCCAAGCACAGCAGTCAGTGCTGCCCTCCTCCTTCCTCTCCAGTTTAACTAAGCAATCTACTTGAGGAGGAGCAAGACAGAGAGGCAGTGGAAGGAAGAAAACAGAGACAATACAAGTGTAATTTTGCTGTGCTTATATCTCCCCAAAATTTCTGTCCGAGTGTTGAGCTTCCTTCAAGGCAGACAGCCTTGGGATGGAAACCCACTTTTACTGGTCAGGATGTACAAGAAACCAAACAATAGATTCCCTAGAACTGCTTATACTTTTTTGACAGAAGCCATGTTAAAAAACACTTTAAAAGCAAAGGGAGAATTAATGGAGGGGGAGGGGTTACCAGTTCAGAACAATACCATCCACTGCTATGAATTCACCAGGCAACAACTACCTCCTTTTCTTAGTCTTTTTACCCTCCACCCAAGCACATTTGTGTTTTTGAGCTTCAATTTCTTTACCATCTGTCCCAAGTTAGTTTGCACCACAGTGAAGTACTGTGTTAAGTGACAGGAGACATTCAGGAAACTCTCTTACTCTGTGAAATCTCTAAGTGCCTGCTCAGTTTAAAAATAACCCACACCACTCAGCTTGTGTATTCATAGTTCAAAAGGATGAAAAAGAACTCTCCTTCCATCCCTACATCTGCAGCTGAGCAGCTGCATGACTACCGGAAAGACAGTAGGTATTCTCTATGTACCTACCTGTAAAATTGGTGATAAGGAAAATGTTTTGGGAGCTACCAAGAAGGAACGCTGCTCGAGAGTTACATGCTAGTAAATCTAAACTAATTTCAGCGTGATTAGCTTTTGCTTTCAAATTGGCATATCCTACGCTGGCAGCTGGTAACGAGCATTTCTGAATGCAACGGCCCCTGCTTGAGGCACTGCCATTTGGCAGCCCTGAGCACGTTCGAGGCGTTTTCGGTTTAACATTCCGAAAAGAGGGCTGACTGCTTAATCCCTATGCTTTGTTTCAAATTCTCTTCAACTAGAGCATCAGATTAATCTTATGCTTAAATGACTACTAAAGAAAGTTAAAAATGTATTTTAAAAGGCCCAACTATGAGACAGACTACGGTGCGCACTTTGCAAAAATGACCTGTTTTATCCTCGTTTCTAAAAGGCCAGTTAGTGACCGTTATCCTACTGTTTTCAATTACAAGATTTCTCTCTTGTACAACATTTAAATGTTCTCAGATACAAATGTAATGCTTGCAGAGGTACTCAAATAATAATATACCAAAATTGGTTATTATTATAAAGTTTGATAAAAAAAATTGCTACTAATCTCCAAAAGCAAAGCTCCCAGATTTTTAAATCAAATTCCAAGACTGTCTAACCCAGCAGGCAGCCCACAGAGGCCTAACCACAATTAAAGGTATTAAATGTAAATGTATTAATGAAGGATCACAACTGCAATGTTTAAAAATCACAAAAATATCTGAAAAAGTAAAACAAGATTTAATTTCTGAATAGTGATTAACAGTTCAAGACATCTCAGTTTCAAGTGTTCAGTTTGAGGTACTTTTAAGGAGCCAGATTGTTAAAATTTCAGCAGATGTCAGAAATTAGCTGACAAGCAGGTTTTCAAGAATCTAAACGTCTGCGGTGGTACACGAAGAACTACCAGCAAATATTTTGGAGTCCTTTAATAACCTGTACATACGCTACTCCTTGTTTCAGATTTTGAAGCCTGAACAGTTTTCTTTTAATAAAAGAGATCTTTTATTTATGAATCAGTGAGCTCAAAAACAGGTAAATAAGTTCCTCATCTCTGAGGAGAGATCAAGCTTAAGCCATTTTAACATAAATCTCCAAGATTTCAGGAGAAAGCCGACATATAGAACAACAGCACACTGGCTTGCTGCCTTTGCTGCAGTTACCCCATCCTGCACCCTCTCAAGGGGCACGAGCCTCCACTTTCAACTTGCTGACTGCCACGCTTATGAGCCAGCAAGGTTCCCTCTACAGCATGAAAGACCGCTCACTGTCAAAAGGATGTATACAACAGGTCTTTCCTGCTAGAGTCACATCAGAAAGAAAATGGTATTGAGCCTAAAGCTTCCCATTATCAATGCCCATTACACCTAAGAAATGAAAGAGAGCAGCCTTCTGATTACAAAACTTGCGAAAAGCCACCAATCATAAATTGTGCCAAAATAAACCGTTCAAGCTTGACAATTCACAAAATGGGTTCATACCTCCCGCTCAAGATATGACTTAAGGGATTCTGTCTCATTTAACAGAGTAACGCTGCATTTGCCTCTGAAAAAGAAAGAAATCACATTTTAGGGAAAAAAAATTGCATCTTAAATGTCTGTGCAATATACAAAAGGGTACTAGAGAAGTTTTGCACAAAACTCATTCTTACATTGAAGAGTACTTGAATAACCACAATGGCATTTGGGTTTTGAATAAAGAGCATTGGAGGAAAATAGCCATTACCTAATGTGTGTGGCTGGCAGAGATTCCAGCTGTCGTGAGAGAAACAATTCACGGTGTCGCAGCTGATGCTTCTGTTTCTCTGGTAAATCAACCATTTCTGGATTTTCCATCTCTTCTTCCATCTCTCCTAGTTATCAAGAGACAAATTTAACATCAAGAACACAGAGCAAGTATTGATTCTTGGCCAAACAGAACGCACTGCTCCATAACCCATTGCTAAACAACAAACAGGCACAATACGCAGATGAAATCTAACTTCATCTGAATCCTCATATTTCAGTCAGCTGAACAACTAGAATTATTTACAGATATAACTTAAAAGGTATACGCTAATTATCTAATTGGTCATCACCAGAATCAAAGCTTTCCAGGTACGCACAAGTCACACTAGTTCACCAAGCTGCAAGTCACACCGAAATTTGCTGCCAAAATACTCTAAAAAGAGCTCTTCTTACGAGACTGTCATTGCACCATCAGCTTCATCAGGAAGAAGCTGAGGCACAATGAATGAGGCAGTAAAAGTGAAGTCTTTCCTCTTTGCCAGGTATCAGCAACCTTATATCCTAGTCTTCTTCCAGAAAAGAATCACAGCCACAAACTGTGCCACCCTGACTTCAACAGCCTCTGAAGGAAATGCTGACTGAAAAGGTTAGTTCTTTCATTTAATGTACTTTATTCTGTTCACCCCAACCACAGCCCATAAATCCCAGTCACAAGATCAACTGGAAGGCAACCAACTGCCTAAGGCCAGTCTTGTAACCAACCCTACCCTACCAGGCCACAAGCATCCGACCATCTGCAGGACTGCTGCATTTCAAAAGCTTCCTCTATTCTGCAGTCAGGATCCCTGATCTCTGACTTGGAGCTATGCTGTCCCCATTCAGCTGTTTTTTAAATGAATGCCAGAGTAAATATATGGAATCACATCCGCACTGATACACAACTGATCCAAAGCATCTCTAGGCATCTTTCTAGTAAGAAATAATTATCCTCATGTTTTGTGTTCATTAACAAGTATCCTCTCAATTACACTAGATAAAGCAGTTGCAGGCAAAATACTCCAAGAAAGCAGCAAAGCTTCTCTGTGATGAAGGACTGCAAAAACAAACAAACTAAAAAAAGACTTTTCCCTTCCCTAAAAAATAAAGGCAGTTACTATATTTTCCAAAATCATGGAAAAGTTTCCCAGACTGTGGTGAAGTGAGCCGTAAAGTCCTGCATGTGAATAGTAAAACTAATTTTACTTCAGCAATACTCTCAAAGAGCAGACCTATGCCTGCAGCTTCATTCAACAGTTGTTGCCAAGAAACATTTTTCCAGATACAGGCGCAGTTGTGATCAATGTACCCTTTAAGATTGGTTACCTATAATCCTAAAAGTTATCTCAAAAGAAAGTAAACAAAGAAGATACCTGCATTTTATAAAGTGCTAAATTGCATTCAGTAATAAACAGTCCACCATTATGCCAAAAGGGGTGACTCCTCCCCCCCCCAGTAGCATAATTAAAGCAGACTGCAACATACAATAGCTATTATAGCACATAAGCTGTTAAGCATACAGCAGCAACATTTTAATATTTTCCTAGAACACAGAATTTACATTTGTGCCAGTTTCACGGCTCTGCAATTTAGGTACTGAAATGAATTCTATTTTAGTAGAAAATTAATACTGTGGCTGCTGACCTACCCTACAAATATACCAGCAGCAATCCACAAACAAGTCAGCAAGTTTCCAGGTAGCTTGTTTGAAAAAGCTATGGACACAAAAAATGCAAAGGCATTCACGTGAGCCTGCACTTAGGAGAGTTTTCGGAGAATGAGACAAGTGTACTGTGTAACACTGGAGGGAGACTCTAAGAAGTGGCTTAAAATATCTTCAGTATATTTAATAGCCTCAAGCTTTTAAAAATTACCTTCTTTTTAAATATATCAACCACTACTTGCCAATAAAACCTACAAACAAGATGAAACCAGCCAGCAAAACTGAGCTAATCTCAGGAACTGCATCACCTTCAGCTAGGAGCATCTTCCAACTGGTGTCTTATTTATATGTTTAGCTTTTGTAACAAAACAAGGAAGGTGGGAAGCACACATTTTCTTCTTATGGCAGCTCTGCTATACACAGCCTTTCAAAATAAAAAGGCACAATCCATTGTAAAAGACAGCTATTTCTACAGGTAACAAACAACATCCCCCTCGCTCCATACACATAATATGGCCACAGTTCCCAAAGCCAGCAATAGAAATATTCTCAGAGAGAAAAAAAAAAAAAAAACACACACACACACACACACACACAGAGCAAGCTCTACACAAGTATCTTCCCTCTTTTTCACAGACATGATTTAGTACCAAGAAGAATGAACCTGACAAACCCATTCTCAAGCAAATGAAGATGGAGAGAACACAGGGTTGAATTCAGCATGGGGTCCTGGCCTGGGTGCCTCACTGAAGCGAGGCAAGATCAGCTTTGACAAAACTAGCAATAACATCACCCATAGCCTCTGCACATACGGCCGAGATTTAAGTCACATCGGGGATGAGCTGGACCAACTCCTGAGGCCAGCCTCTTCCTCACACCTGGGCTTCACCTTCATATAGCTCAATTATTCAAGCTTTCTAAACAAAGTAGATTTTATTCTAGAGAACAGTGGCACCCGACAAATAAACGGCCATAGCCTTCTCCCAAAAATAAATAAATAAAAATATATATATATATATATCTTTTCAAACAAGCTTGCCTGCGTTTATGACCATGCTACAGAATAAGTGCCAAGGGAACGCAGTAGAAACAGTATATGAGGACTTAAACAAATCATTTAATACACTCATAAAGTCTTACTTGAAAATTAATCTCTCCGCTTGATAGATGCACACATGCAGATTTAAGACTAAACATTTAGTCTTAATATAAACAGTAATACTTCAGCTTTGCAGAAGTAGCCAATGGAATGCTGCAAGGAGTGTGTTAGATTAAGTATTATTTGGTATTTGATGGCACTATTATTAATAGCACTTAAAAAAAAGCATAAAAAGAGATCATGTTCTGCTGGAAACAAAGACAGGCAGGTAGGACACAAATAGCAAGACTCACGTGAAAACTAACATATAACGGAGAAAAATAACCAGAAAGAGTAAACATTGAACTGGCAGGAGAAACCCAAGAGGCAGAAATTGTAATTCAGAAAGACTGGGCATATGAGATACCAAATTAAACATCAATATTTGCTAGACTCTGGAAAGAATAGCAATTTGATACAGATCAGACTGGGCTCTTTGCAATGTCAGAGGCACAGAGCACCAGCCCTTTCTCCACAGCCTACGTGCTGGGTCCCACAAGTTACCACAGGGCAGAATTCAGAAGAACGCAAAAGCGAATGATAAAGAAATTAGGTTTAGAGAGTTCACCAAGAGGTACAGCCTAAGAGACAGGAAAATGTACAGTAACAGAAGAACTAGGTAGCATGGTATCAGTAACAACAACATTTAAAAAGGGAAAGGAAAAAATAAAGAGGTCAAGATATCAGTAGCGCCAACTTCTGTGTTTCCCTGACCTGCAAACAGTTCCTTCAGTAGCGAAGGAAGCTTAAACTCTTGGTGATTTAACAGCTCAACTGAACAGCTTAGAAGGCTGTTGTAGGAATCATGCATTTGAAGAAATTAACCGTATAAAAACAGAGTTCCTCTCCCACATCTAATTTCTAATGGTCTATGTTAAGCCGCATAGCCTCATTTATTTTCTACTAAAAGCTAGATACTGATTCACAGGTACAAGAAATACGGCAGAAGTTTTAACAAACAGAAATCCTTATACTTCGACAGTTTAGGAGAAGTTTGCCATGTTATCAAGATGACATCTCATGACGATCCCTTCCAAGGCTTTTTGTTACCATCTCGAGCAGCCACAGCCACGGCCACTACCGCTGGGCAGGACACAGGACAAGCAGACCCTATTGGTGATGTTTAGCGTATTCTTTCCTTGCCACCCTACCCCTGGAAGGGGAAATCACACCTTCATCCTTTCAGAAACAGAGTCAAGAATGTCATTAATGGATTAACGAATTCCATTCTTCTTAGATCAACACGTATGGTGTGGGGAGAAAACGGCAGAGGGAGGAAAGTGGCTTAGAACTCAGTCCTGAGGCTACAGGCAAACTGCATCCGGCCGGCCAGCGTTATTTGGAGGAAGAAAAAACCAAAAACTTTACAGACCTGAAACTGTTTTGGCACAAAGGCTTCGCGCAATTCACAGACTGATTGAGTAATGACACCTTACTGCTGCAAGACGCTTATTTTTAGAAGCTTCGGCGCTTACACAAACATGCTGCCATGTACGCCTGGCACCCAAACACCAGCTGCTGAAAGCTAACCATAAACCTGTCAAAAGCAACTCCTGCTACCCAGCTTGCACTAACTACTCAGTACTCCAGCTACCACCAGCTACTTCTTCACTGATTTACAAAGTGGGATTATATGTTTGTGAGTATGTATATAGGCATGTATATGTGTGTGTATACACATATAAACACACACACAACCACAGCACCCAATAGCAGCTTAGGCAGGAAACTACAGAAGTCATAGGGCTCTTTTCTTCCATCAAGTTCTGCCTGCACTTTTGTTTTCATATAATATTCTATCTTAAACTACTGCAAAGTTTTTGTGCAAGCAGGTTAAAGAGTAGTCTTCTCCTGGTGAAGCAGGTTCATTTTGGAGAAATACCCTAGAATAATCTGTGAGATGATTAAAGAGGCTTATGAATAAAAAGTGTGAGCAACGTATAGAAGCCATTACACAGCCGTTAAGATTTATAAGATGGCCCGGACAAGCTTTATATCATATGATAAAAATAGTAAGATCACAGATCAAATCCAGGAATCAGGTTGCATACATCAGGTACTGATTTACAGTCTCCCAACTACAGAATAGGTGGCTTCCAACTCATTTTTCTTCTTTACAGAGAGTTATGGGAAAACACAATGTATTTAACAGCATATCTTGAGAGGGAAATATTTATTGTAAAATCGATATTCGCATATATATATATATATATACACACACACATACATATACACACACCGTTTCATTTTCATTATATATATCATTTTCATGTTCTTGCCCAAAATTTGTTTCTCACTGCACTGCTCCCAACAGTAGGTCTAAAATAAAGGCATCTTAGACATAAGAGTGTGCGAATCCAGAAATCTCTGCAGTCAGAAAGCTCCATTAATCAGCTGAACAAAGGCAGTTAAAAGATCAGTGATGCAGATACGTACATCTACTGCAAATGCATCAAAATGAGGCAACAGGAGACTTTACGGAAATGAGCTCAAAGTCAGTGACAGTAGTGAGTATCTTTACTAGAATCTTAATATCCACAAAATTTAGTGTCATTATATCATGCAGGATGTAGATTTTTCCAAAGTAAAGAACTAACTGCTATCCACAAGCATAATTTTGCTCTCTCTTCTCCCTCCTTAAGAAGGGGAGCCACACAACCGCACAGCCATCTAAACAAATGGAAGTCATTTAGTGGCAATTTTATTCTGCACCAAAAGGAAATATACAGAAAAAAGTTAGTTACTAATGAAGTTTACACTAAAAGATAGCCCCAGTTTTCTTCTGGTGGCGTTATTAATAAGATTCTTCTATAGAAGTATATTCTTGCCTTTCAAACAGATAGGAAAATGAACAATGAATTATTTGTTTGCATGAAAAAAAGAAATCCCTATCACAAAAAAAGGTCAGGCCTTTCAGGTTCAAAGTACCTTTATTTGGGTTCAAAGAAAGATTTTTTTCAGCCTTGAATATTGCATTTCTTTGAATCATTCCTACCCGCTTAATTTACTAAATCTACTGAAGTGAGACACAGATGAAGCAATTAACAGTCATGTTGTTTATGGTAAAACTTTTATTACGCTTCAGGATTCTTGGATAAAATGAGTACTACTGCACTAAGATATCAAAAAAGCTTTACCTGCTACCACAATTCTGCAACACAGTCAAATCTCATCTCAGTGCCACATGATTGTTTTCCAATGAATAGTTTTTACTAATGCAATATAGAGACTTATTTGGACATAAAAGCTACAAGAGAAAATATTCAAAGTGATCAGTAAGGAGCTAGTTTTGCTGCATTTTTCCCCAGTGGCATTACAGTGCTGAAAACATTCAGACATTTTATTCATTGTTAAAACTATATATCTGATTTAATCCCCATGCAGCACAACTATGTAGATTGATATTACATACACATCATAGCCCATTCATGCGCAAACTGAGAAGCATATTAGAAGACAATGCCGCTTTTTTACCTAAAAAAAATTTTGACATACCCAGATCTGGTTGCTTCTCCTTCATTTATCTATGTGCTTATAGGAAAGCCTTTAATTACAAGGAAAGATATGACTATCTATCCATGCTTTTTACCAAATTTAGGCAATCTAAACTCTTAAGTCTCATATACTTCATTATTAACAAGCAAAGTCAGTTTAGTAACTCTACCCGCTTACTTCTATCCCTTTGTAACATACCTGCTTTGGTAAATGTTGTTAGTACTATGTCTATACCTATGTTAGTACTACGTCTGTCCCACAAGGATAGGATGACAGGGACACTAAACTGGCAGAGGAAGGTATAATGAAGCTAAATCTAATCCTCACTAGCAATTAGAATACAGTCAAGCAGGCTGGAAGCATCCCAGACAAAATGCCCAACATCACGTTAAAGTTGCACTATTTATCCTCCTGGAGATGGATATTCCTCTAGAGAGGTAATTATTGCACCATGCTCACACCATTTTAATTGAATTTAGAATGCACCCATCTACAGCAGCTTCTCTGATGTTTCATGTGCTTTTTTGGAACTGTGTCTATAATTTCTTGCCTTATAGATTTATAGAGGCAAGTATCTAATCTATACTTAGATGTTATTACTTTTTTGCACACCCTTTCTAGTATTTGTAATCTGTTTTTCTAATTGAAGGGAATTGTAATGCTACATTTGTTTTAAAATAAACTTCCATCTCTGCTCAGCTAGGTATCTCACGTGTATCTGATATGCTTGACAGAGGAGTGAGTATATGACAGCATAAGGTAAAAGAGCATCCTGCAAAATAATAAAACTGAGAACTTAGTTACACAATGCATACATGCGAAGGAGTAGGTTTTAGTCTCAAAGCAAGGTTGCATAATCTTTTGAATTTTATGATAGCTCAGTTTCAGGAGTTACTTTCTGTTTTTAAAAAAAAAAAAAAAAACACGCTAGAGTACAAGACAGTCAGGGTTTTCAAATCTCCATTCAGCCTAAAGATTATTCTTCCTCCAGCAGAATGAGCTGAATACACACACATACACAGACAAGATGTCCTAAAATGTAGTAGCTTTTACAATTTATGTACCAAACATGTTCAGAGGAGAACTATGTAACTTCAAATTTCAATATTAGTAATGTTTTTTAAGAAAATTTTTATTAACCGAGTCAGATGTTTAAAGTTGGTTTCCTATGTTGAGGCTATTTAATTTACTTGGAAGGAAAGTTTAAAGTTTATTTTTCTCTACCAATTAAAAATAACATTCCCCCTTTCTTATGTTACTCCTAATAAGCTATTTACCCTCCTCCAAAAAAATCATGAAATTCACTTTTTAATAAAGAAAAGCAGACACCTTTATTCAGGCCTAACTGAAAACTGCTGATCCCTCCCATCATGATAAACAAACCATAAACCCATAAACCAACTAACTTTTCACGGGGCTTTTATAAGGCCAACAACAAAGAAAAAAAAAACAACCCCACAGACAAACAAGTAATGCAGTTCATTGGAGATGAATACAGGGGAAGGACTTTAAAAATACAGGGAAAGGAATTTTGAATTTATATTATTGGTACTTGTAATTGCAGTATCAAAGGTCTACCCAGGTTTGGAAATTTTGCGTAGAAGTGACTTGAACACAAACAAGCTTACTTGCATGTTTATCTGCCAATACAATAAGTGTACTTGATATGTCTCTTCTTCTGTAGAAACATACCACCTTTGCTTCCACGTTTCCATTGGCAGTCTGAAATAGGAAAAAGAAAAATTGAATTGAGCACAAATCAAAACTTAAACTGTATGTAATGAACTAGAAAGCTTCCTAAATAACAAGCAATTTTGCCACTAGGGCTTTACAGGATCACCTTCTAGCATCCTCCAACTGCACAGACTTTTTCTAACATATCAACTCCAGTGTGATCCACTCTAGGATTTCTAGGGTAGGGAAAATGAGCTTGGTCCTTTGCTCCTAATTCTTTCTGCAGGATCACCACTTTAAGCAGTTACAGATATTTCAAGGGGTAAGAAAAAACACTTACCTGCAGTTATAACATACCAACAGGCCACTTTGCTACTTTTCAGGGGAAGCCTGCACTTAGCAGAATGCAAAAAGCATCTTTAAAATCCCGGTTTAAAAAGAAATATAACAATAGAATTGAGACTTAGGTTCAACTTTTTTCTCTCCAAACTCAGGACAGCAGAAAAGCAAGAAAGAATCTAGTCACTACTATCTTTACAAAAGAAATAACATTACATTCCCCTTTTCTGACAGCACTGGCAATATTCTTCCAGGTAAATAATAAGCAATTCAAGAATCATTCTAAAAGAAGAAATAGTGAAGCTATAGCAGGTAACAAACTCTACACTAGTGTCAGCATACCGAAAGGTCTGAACTTTGGGGTGTTTTTCCCCCCCCGCTTAAAACTCTTAAGATGAGATAGGTGATGTGTTTCCTGTAAGATAGTACTTAATAAATTGTGACTGGCTTTATACAATTCCTAGAGGAAACACATCTACTGGCTGGTCACAGACCCAGTGAATTGTCCCTAAAACAAGTAATAAAAAGAGTGGCCCTGCCATTGAAGAGTCCTTGAAAGCCAGAATGAAATCACATTTATTAAACTGAAAAGCTGATTCTCAAATGCCCTTTCAGAAAGCCTCCAAAAAAATGGTGGACCAGCAATCTGTCAACAAGGAGAGAGAAGAAGGGGGGTGGGGGGGGGGAAAACCACCACCAACAATTAAAAAACCAACCAACCAAAAAAAAAAACCCCACTGATATATACTGTAGCTGCTAAAATATAAATGGAGCAAAAACTTCAATGTCTTATTTTAATAAGTTTTCCTTACACAAATAATAATAAAACACAGACAATATATACATGCAGCACAAATATTTCCACTGGCAGCCTACCAGTTTTTGGTGCAGTGCCTGTAGCATTTCTCACCAAAAGTTTTCTAATCATCTCAGATAAATCTTCCAGAACTTTTATTTTGAGGAATTATAATACAAAGGTAAGAGTCACCTTGTTAGATGCAGACAGCTACAATGCAGAACTATCCATTTCAGTTAATCGTCTAGACTCCATTTATACTCAATAAAAGAAAGGAAAAAAAAAAAAAAAGCAACTCAAGATATGATTCAGCTCAACCTAAAATACCTAAAATTTCAAATAGTATGTCAGAAAAATTACAGCCCAAGCAAGCCTATCTCTCTCCATTGACAATGGAGCGACTTTAGGATGACTGGCTTGGCTATAGACATTTAGACTACGCATATCTGAAGCTTGGTAAGGCAAAATGAGACCCCAGGCTGAAAGCACCGTTCTTTTTATAAACTTGGGTGGGAGGAGGAGAAGAAGCTTTCCTAGAAGGCAACCAACAAGTCTGCATCCTGTAGTTGATAGATTACAGCTACTAGTATCACCTGGACATGGATCCCCTTAACCCTCTTCAAGCACAGGATATCCAAAGGAATAAAAGAAAGGCAATTCTCCTTCACTGGGAAGAAAATATATATACTTATCCTCAGCTTCCTAATACATAGGAAAAGTTCTGGACTTTTAATGCTGAGACAAGGTAGACAAGTCTGCCACCAGCTAACCATTTTAGGAGATCATTACTGTTTCCGCAGTGGAAGAGGTGCAAAATATTTCTGCAGAAAACCTACACTGAGAGGAGGGGGTTACAAGGATGCCCTAGTCTTCATCTGTCATTATTCAGAAGAGGAAATTTTATCAGTAGAAAAAAAAAAATTATCATGTTTTGGCTGAGGGAAAAAGCTCTTTTTTTAGCCACTTAATTTAAATTCAAATGCAAAACGGCAATGTTACATTCTTTCTGTATGGGCTGCAATAGACAAGGTGCTATACAACTTCAAAAAAATAGTGTTTAGGACACAGTTAATGGCTTCAAAACAGTCTTCCCTCCACACTTTGATAAAATTTCTACATCAAGGACTTCAGCTGGCTTCCCATATGCAACCCCTCATTCTTCCTTTTCAGACGCCTTAAGGAAAAGGAAACTTGGCAGCTAAAATACACTGGCCCAAAGGACAACTAGAAGAGACAAATATCTGAAGCAGCAGATAATGGCTCTGAATCTTTCCATTGAGGGAGAGTCTCTCCCAAGAAAGCTCAAATGACAAAGCTCTTCATCCTCTTGTCAAAGTGATATTTATCTTCATATCACATGACCATGGCACAGAATTGAAGAGCTGCAGAAACATCTTGCCCTACAGGTGGGCGTAATCACCTTGCAAATGACCTGCAGTTGATGCTCTTGTCCTTTCACACCCAGCGAGAACAATCCTGCAGGTCTCACTTTTGTTGTGATAATATTCTCGAACACTATTTTTAAGCTCCTATTTACCAGACAACTGCTAAAGAACCATTTTGATTTTAATCAAATCAAGCAGATCATAAATTCAATTGCCTCCAAATACTCGAGGGGGAAAATCAGTAGTGTTTACCTTATTGAGTTCTTCTATTCTTCGTATCAAATAAGGGTTACTTGAAGAATTCTCAAAGTAGACGTAATCTGACAAAAAAAGATTTCTTTAAAATATGAACCGCTAACAATCAAATAAAGAATGTCACATATATACCCATTACTGACACCATATCAAATTCATTTCTTGCCACAAGCAGTATTTCCAGCGTCCTCACTAATTCCAAGATTTTAAGTGAGGAAATACAAACTCCAGGCTAGCATTTACTAACCAGAGATACGAGGAACATGCATTAGCACATTCTGAAAGCCATAAACTCACTTTCAGAAATGAAGCTCTATTGCCAGTCTTTATACTGAGAAAGAGAAGCGATATGATGATCTTCCTCCTTCCTCTGATCACATTATTTCACTGTGATCACCCTGTTTTCTTTACTTTGCTTTCTTTCATACCAAAATTTAGCGACGTCTCCTTATGAGCAACACGCTCGTCCTTCTTCTCCCCCCAATTCAGCTCCAATCTACTGCCCATTTACTTAGACTATGAATAACCTTGTTCCTTCCTTCTTTTTTCCTCTATCTTTTCCATTACTTCTTTGTCTTCTATTTCCCGAAATCCCTGTATTATCCCAGAATACCCTCCACAAAACTCTATGGTAAGCCAGATGCAGGTCAGTAAAGCTTATATTTTCAAGCGGTATAACTGCATTAGATTACAGGAAGAAAGGCAGTTCTTTACCCATGATAACTCCTTAAAAAGAAAAGAAAAGAAAAAGGAAAAAGAAAACATCAGAAATGCATCAAGAAGTACTATATGACTTGCTTGGCATTACTAAGCTCCAAGCTTAAACACTTCTTTTTACAGATGAGGAACTGGAAGAGTCTTGAACAGAATTGGCCTTTTTCATCCGATAAATAGGCTAGAAATCATCCAATAGGCTTTAAAATAATTTTAAATCTTATCTGAGGCAAAAAGAGGACTGAAACCAGCTCCTCCCCTGGGAGGCTGGTCTTGCATAGTCCTTAGCCATTACAAATTTTCTTATACTCAGATGCAAAAACGAATCTTTCCCAGACGTGCCAGTAAATTCCCCTTCAGTTTTCCCAGTTCATTTGTATTTGGAGTACAAAATCCACAGCCCCCAGGGCATGACTCAGGTCATCTATTTAAATGAACGTATTAGCATGATGCTCCACTGCTAAATGGCTGTTTAGTGGTGTTAAAGTCTTTAGTAAATAAAGATAACAACTTTAGCCGTTAGCTTTAATCTTTCTGGAATGGTTGTTAAAAGGTCAGTCAGCACCAGGGATAATGTTATGCTCTTCCTCAACCCAGAGGAGTAGAGTCTATCCCTAGGGCCTCGGCTACCAGAAAGCTGCATTATGAGGGTTAAAGAGTCCCCCCTTAAGGGTGGTGAGGGGAGACACTGGCACATTCCCTCCCATTTCTTAAACTTTCTTCCTTCTTAATCCAAGGCTCACTGCAACTCTTCCAAATCCTCATGGAAAAGCACTCAAGCTCCGGACATGGATTTTTTCAGGATACTACCTACAGCCCACATTATCCATAGGTCTCCAATGAGTTAACAGATCAAACTATTTGCTAAGTGACAGACTTAAGAGCAGAGCAGTGAGCACTGAGCCAGTGGGGCAGCATGAACTGCAGTCCTCACTAGCTACAAACACCTGACCCATTCTTGTGTCAGTTCAGCAAGGTTGGACTGGTTTCAGAGAGTCAAAAAAAAAAAAAAAAAGAAATCTCAGACATACAATCCTAAGAGTGGAAATTAAGAACTGGTTCCCAAACTCTTCTTTTGTCCTTCAAAAAAAAAGTGTCAAACGCACAGAGTTGTGAAGACAACTTCAAAAAAAAAAAAATCAGCACAGACTTGGTTGAAGTGATGAGTGACAAGGTTGCAATGTGAGTAACAAGGTTGCAGTGTGAATATTCAAACAGGACAAAGCATGTGCATCTTGGGTTACATAACTATACAAAGTGTTTCTTGGGCTAACAAAGCATAGAAATACTATTTTTTTTTTTTTGCATTCTGTCTAAAGAGCGGACATCCAGACCTTTCTGATTGAACATCAGCTACCCTCACATACACAATCACGGCTCTGAGCAACTCCAGAACTTTCTTCCTAACTCTACAAGTTGGTTCTTCTTAAATATCACTTGCCTTCAGGCTTCAAACTTAATAACGAGCTCATCTAAGGAATCCAGATTTGACATTCGGTTTGGAGAAAAAAAAAAAAGTTCTCAGAAATAGTTAAAACACCCAAGCTATCCAAACCTAAACTTCCATCCAAAAGTACCATCTTTGTGTAACATGCTAAATGGAAACCATGACTTCAATATTGCTTTGACCAGCTCTACTAGAAGACGTGCAAGGAAGCAGAAATCTTTAGCAATTCCAAAATAGGTACTACAGTTATTGTAAGAATTTACCGATCAATAACCAGAGTAAGAAATCCTTGCTGTCATAGTAGAACAAGCACAGATGTCCTACAAGGGTGCATACACCAAGTACAGCAAAGGAGGAAACAGAGGTGGCTTCTGCTTTAAGGTATCTCAAAGTTCATCGGCATGTCTGAAGACAGAGAGAGTTTGCCTTTAATTTCAAGGCTCCATGACTTGAAGAAAGGATGAGTTCTCCCCACATGCACGTTACAACTCACTACCATTTACTTCAGGTGCAGGCCAAAGGCAAAAACTTACATCTGTGAACATTACAATTTAAAATTCAAAAATGAAAACTAGAGGAATGTCAAATTTCCACTCGAAAGAATATAACCTAAGTCCATAGGTTTAAGATAACCATTACAAGTCTCTATGGTTCACATTATTTTTAACAGCCTTTGTGGGTACACATGTGCATATAATCATACTTCTCATCCATGTTTTAGACAAGCCCCACAGGCATGCTCAGCATTTCACCAGTAGCTATGCAAGTAATGGAGACCCATTTGTCATTACTCAAATTACCGGGAAATAGGTCTCTTCCTCTCTACCTGTAACACAGAGTCCACTGCAAACAACATACAATACAGTGTGAGAGAAAAACAGAGAGAGGAATAACTTACATTCTTTCATAGAAATTTTAAACATTAACTGAAATTAAAAAGCTATCCTGCACAGAAAAATATTTGCGTTACTGTTCCATTCATACAACAAGGAAATTTAAAGTTCAACAAACTCTTCTTCACATTGATACTTTAGCAGGTGACAGGACTCCTCTTGTGTTGTTCCATAAGCAAAGCCAGTTAAGATTGGCTTCCTACACACTGGAGTTTAAAGGACAGACATAAGACACCATTCTCCACTACCTCTTGCACCCCAAAACACCTCCTTTTTCCTTGAACAGTACTTCCCCTTCCTCTCCAGCTTTCCTGTGTCAGGTAAAGGCATCCTTCCCATACTGCCTACCCAACAAATACTGTTCCCAAACAGTTTGCTTGTGAGACAGTAGCTCCCGTCTCTCACACGCACATCTGAAAATAGGAATCCTCCAAAGGTTCCCAACATTCCCACTGTTGATGGGAGACATCCTATACGTCCATAACGGCCAAAAATCTCTGTGCATTGGCCTGGAAGGAAGAATGGGGAAAAAGACTAAATTAACAAGCCTCTAAATAACAGGAAGATATATGCAGCTCAACTCCTACCACAGGACAGGAAGGAAGGAGTACACTAAAAATAAAACAAAAAAAAAAAAAAGCAGAAACTTGCCTGATAGCGAGTAAAATGAAGTCGGACCCTTCAGGCACATCAGACTATCCTTGTCCATTTATTGGCTTTCCTACTTAGCCATCGCAGAACAGGACCAGCCAAACCCCTCCATGTTCCACGAGCACGGCATGCCTCCTTACAAGCAGCCACCGCCATAAACACATGAAGCCCACCCCTTACCACCCAACCACCCAAACAAACATTGGAGACTCAATCCCATACCTGCACCACAGCTTGTGGCTTACACCCACAAATCCTTGCTTGATCAACCACGGGTCATATAACTACAATTTTCATGCAGAGCTAACACTATCGCTCTTACGCATCATGGAATTTTCTATGGTCAGGCTGAAGCAAGGACTGAGGAGTGTGGCAATATCATAAGAGACAGTAAGGACTAGCACACAGGCCACCACCTCTGCCACAAAAAAAAAAATGCATTTCTTTCTCTTGTCTATGCTGCTGTGGACCAGCAGAAGCACCCACATACATAAGTCTACCCAAAGAACCTCTTCACTCCATTTTTTCTTAAGATGGCTGGAAAGAGATGCTATCATGCACGTACTAAACTGCTAGAACACATATAGTCAGGTACACAACAGCACAGAAGCTAAAAACTAGAATGACAACATAGAGACCACAAAAGGTGGAAGTTTTCCACAAAGGCAGTAAAATGACTGTTCTCAATTAGCAATAAACAGACTTTCTTTTTCCTCTCACATGCTTTTAAGACATTACTGCAAAATTGCTTCCCCCTCTGCCGTCTTCATGTCAGCTGTTGATTAAGCCTCCGTCAGTCCATGGAGGAGAAAATCAGGAGGCGAGTACAGCAAAAGAAAGAACCCACAGTCTAGGCCATATATTTACAAGATTAGCTCTGTCTGAGCTACCTAATAACCTTATGGGCTTTTAGGTGATCAAGTTGCAAAAATGCTCAAAAGTATTTTTATCCTTCCTAATTTACATTTGCCTTGGAGACTACAAGCTATTTTTTGAGCACCGACCTCACTGGATATTCCCTACGTTACCTTCAGAAACGCTCACAGAACACATACTGCACTCGCTTCACACGTACTCGGGAAACTAGGGAGGCTGACGCCTCCTCTTCACACACTCCCCCCACTGCGCAGTACAGTGCATGCAGTACAGCGTGCGTTTCCAAGTCTGTGATAAGGAAGTGACTTCACAGTTGCAAACATCTCCTCTTCCCAATCCACAAAGCGGCTGCCCTGGATTAAAGATGAGTGTCAAGGGAACGCAAACTTACGAACAGTTGGTTACTTTATGACTTATCTTACCAGGAAAGACATGCCTCCTCGTAGTCTAGGCTTCCAATTAAATTTTGAACAAGTTTTTTTTAGGGAAGCTCAAGTTTTGAAATTATTCAGCAGTTTGGTCCTAAAACTGTCCATCTCTTCACATCTGTGGTAATACAATCCCTTCCTGTCTATGTTTTCCTGGAAGAAGAGACCAGAGAGACTACGCTGCTTTTAGTCTGGAAGTCAAGTAATCTCACTTGGCAGAGCCCAAGTTTTCAAAACCAAAACCCAAAAAAAACCCCACCAAACAAACCCACCATCACTCACATTAGCTGTCATCTGATGAAGTGTTCAGTTACAGAATAGATTCAGTTTCAAAAGAGAAAGCCTCAGGAGCACAATATTTTCATTACATAAAATGTAAAACTGAAATAGTTGTTTCTGTTGCTAAAAGAATTATGAGGTCCAATATAGGCGGCAGCAGTAAACATGATCTAGATAGTCACAGTTAATTTCTCTCATAGATACACCAAGGTACTGAAGGTATACTGTCAGCCCAAGTTCAATCATACTTCCCAGACAGCAGTATTTGCGGCTGCTGCATGCACAAAATACATGTGGCTTCTTCCTCAGCTTGCCATGCTCTAGGCAACACACCGCTAGTACCACTCACATCCTTACACTGAAGGTAGCGGAAACGGAGCAACAATCCAAGCATATAGCTAATCTTAAATACCTACTGTAATTTAGAAAGGGACATGGCTATGGGACAAAGCTATCGGCATCACCTGCAGAAATCCCCATTCCATACAGACAGCAAACCATCACTAAGTTTAATAAGCATAGGTTGAGATGTCCCAGGTAAACCACATTAGTTTTGCTCTTCCCACCAAAGTGATCAAGTCAAAAGGCCAATGAGGATAAACAGAGCTCAAAACACATTAACTGAGATACACCCGCCCCAGAAGGGAGTACGCTTGTTAGAAGGATCTGCTGCTCACACAACCTTCCTGAGATTAGCTGCCTGGTCTCAATAAAAAGGCCTAGACTGAACAAAACAGCCAAACATTAAGCGACAAGTTCTCGCTGCCAAAGCGGAGAGCCTAGCTTTCAACAAGGAATCAAGATTAACAAACCGAGGCATCACTTCCTTCAGCTCAAAGCCTGCAATAAACTTCCTAGATACAAATTAGCAATGACAGCCCAACTCAGTGAGCACAAGTCCATCCACAACACACACTGCCCTGTCTCTAATCAAGCAGTAAAACAGCCCTAAGTCAGGTAACAACAGACAAGGTTTCCCTCAGCAAGGAGGGGTGCCATCCTGAAGAGCTCTCAGCTGCAGGACACAGCCAGCTCTGGCTGTCAGGTAAAGATCTCGGGGCACCACGAGATCTGCAGAGTCTGCAAACTCCTTCGACAAGGGCCGGAAGCACAAGCAAAGTGCTTCACAGCCAAGTTATCCTTAAGTATTTGCAGCTCTGCAAACTGAAGCCAGCCAGCACTTCTAAAGGAACTGTTGCACCTCTGCCCTTCCCTTTACTATCGTTTGCTTCGCTCTGGTAGTTAATAGTCTCTCGCCTGGAGTTTCTAGGGCACGATTCCTCAGTTAGCTCCCACAGCGTTCCAGGCTCCATGTATGCGGTCCTCACAAGGAGTTACGCGAGCACACTCCTTTCAAAACAGCAGCTACTTCTAGCTAACTGCACCCACAAGCTATATGCATAGGCTAATCTTATTTACAATGCCGGCTTTTAATTATGCAATATGCTTGTTTCTGCTACAAGACCAACTCCTCCAATCAATGAAAGTTGCTTTTCCACTGTCTCCACACCCTCAAGGAGTTTAACAAGGGTGCCTGTATCATCTTGAGCCTTTAAGGATGTATAAGGAGGACAACATCCCAGATATTAAAAACAAATTATCATCATATCATCTGTGTGCCAAGGACTTCAGTGGCGAACATGCATACGGTCTCTCTAGATTCTACCAGTTCCTGCAATATTTCAGGTATAAGGAACATACCGCAAAACTCCTCAGACAAAAATGAATTTACAGAAATATGCAAACAATGATATGGCATATGTTCAGCTCAACTTCTCTTTTTTCCCCTTCTCCAAGAAGGGCAACATGGCTTAAAAGAATGCCGATACTGTAAATCAAAGTCATGATATGCGTAAGAGGACAACTCTGAGTATCATTTAACAAACTAAAGCCTCTATTACCACAACCACATTCCAAGCATACGTCTACATACATACACATGCAGAAGCACTGCTCAGAATTGTTTCATACAAAAGGAAGTACAGTTTCACATGTACAAAAAGCACAACAGGAGTCCATGATCTTTCACACTAGCTTCTGTCCTGTTTTTCCAATAATAAAACATAGAGCAAGATGCCATTCCAGCCCCAAGCAATGCAACGATCAGCAGTCGAAAGGAAAACAAAAAGCAGCAAATTCACAAATACACAAGTAAGAAAATCTTGTTCTTGTGGCCAGGTCCCCCTGGAACAGGCACGTGTGAAAATGGGCAGAAGCTAATAAGCAGTGCAAATATCAGCATTTCATCCACACTTTTGTCAGAGAGTCAGCATGCTTGTAACAAACAGGTGGTTGATTCCCTGAAGTTTGTTAACTCGATTTATTTTCCTAATGTTTTAACTCTTATTTCTGGAGGTGAGTTTCCCTGCAAAACGAGACCAGATCCATGACCATCAAGAAGGAGGAATAAGCTTCTATTTCTTCCCCTTAAAAATGCCCAACCTGTAAAATGCTTAAGAAACAAGGATTATCTACACATTCAAGTTGGGGAACAAAGTGTTTCACGCTCCCTCCCCCCCCCCCCCCCCCGCAAATGTACAGAACTTATATATAGAAAGGGACAGCCAAAATAACTTGGTTGTTTTGAGATGAAAATCACACATCAGTTTTGCTGACTTGCCTCCAAAAAAAAAAAAAAAAAAAGGCAGTTCAATATTCCCTAAGCTATAACCTTAAAGTGAGGCAATTCATGGCAACATTTAATGGGACTATGGATTATACATAAACGTGTAAGAAAAGCTGATATAAACATTTATCCATGGAAGCCCTTCTCACTTGATAAAAGAAATTACCAAAAAACACCCCACAAAACCAAAAAACCCCACACAACAACAAAAAAGACACACCCCACCTCTGAAGTGCCTGTAACAGTTACAAATAAAAACTCAAATATCCACCACACAAACAGATCTCTACTCAAGATAAAAGATATTCTCTACATTTTTGGAGCATAAGTCAGCTGAGCCAAGGACATTCAACTTGCTTACACAAACTGGCGCTTGCCTGATCCACTTTCAACTCTGAAACATAAAGGGATTTGGGACTTCCCAAAGGTTTTTTTTTTGTTTTCTGTCATGTCAAAGGGGGAAAGAAAAATTCCTGTCCAGCTCCTCCTTGTCTTTTTTTTTTTTTTTTTTTTGCCTGAACCTTAATGAAACAAGGTTTATGCAACTTCATTACCCATGCATTAGTTTCTTCCTTATTAACTCCTGAACCTTTTGTTCAATTTCAAACATTTCACAGAGGGACAGAAGTCTCAAAGATAATTAAGTTCTGATCACTGTTCCCTATCTTAAAAAAGGGAGGTATTAAAACTACAAAAGAAACTGAGAAAGGTAAGACAGACAAAGATATGAAATAGTTCACACTTCAGGAACAATTAATAGACTAGATTTTAAAACAAATCACTGGAGGATCCACAGTATTTGTGGGAATTATCACAAATGCATGCTTTCTTACTCACTTCCCACCACCTGTCATCAGTGCTGTTCGAGACAGGTACTGGGCTAGATAACTTTTGATTTGATTCAGTGGGGCCGAGTATGTTCCCAGCAGTTTACCGTCTCCACCCAGGAAGGAGGCAGATACTCTGCCCAGCAGCAGCAGAGCTGAGATCACAGCCCCAGACCAGGCACAGAGCGTGTGCTGCATCTGTCCCAGGACAAGGGCAGGATTTTGGGGGAGGAGGCGGCGGCGGCGGCGCACAGAATAACCACCACCTCAGGGAACAGAGAAAGTAAATCTTAGAAATACACTGTTGTTATTTCTGTTCCTCACAGAAGAATTTGCTGTCTTCAGCGTGCAGAAGACTCATGGAAAAGATGAGGGACAGCAATCTGCCGGTACTAGCGAAGAGCAGTGGTTAAGGGTGCTGGAGGAACTTCGCAGGTCACAGTTCTCAGATGAGGACTCTGCCACATCGAAATAACTGCTACTAGGCATTCCAACTGAAGGGTAAGATGGCGAAAATGCGTACAAACAAGGTTTTAAAAGCAAATTTGTGAGAACACTGGAAACAAGATTAAGCTTCCAGAATACTACCTTGAGGATTAAGAAGCAATTCTACTCTTAAAAAATCAATTATAAGGCAGTACAAGGAAACCCATTTCAATTAATTCACTCCCAATATCCTAGTGATAACCAAGACACATTTGCATGTGGCTCTGACCCTTCAGGCTCACAGGAGTCAACTCCTCCAGGTTTCTGTAGGACGAGAGCGCACTAAACATTCTTAAAGAACCAATTTCTTTTTTCTGTGCTTCACATCAGATATTTAAGCATGATTCAAAGCCCTTTGGACACAAAGACCGTTCTGTTTTTGTTTTTCCTGCCACTTCAGTTCCCAAGGATGTAGCTATGCAAACATTTTCTCCAGTGGCAAAGTTGTGTTCCTACATCATTATGGTTGTGCCAGTACAACTCTTTGTGGGGCAATACCATAAACCAGGCAGGTTGTGAGGGAAGACCAGGATAGCCTAATTTACAGAAGGGCCACACAAACATTTGAGTAGATGGAGAAACTCAGAAGAGCAGAAATTCCTTAAATTCCTCCCCGCCCCGGGGTGGGGGGGAAGGAGGACTATCCTCAAACTGCACCCTAACAACCTCCTTTTCTGGCAGCAAAGGGAACCACCTATTCCACTGTGAGCCTCATGACTAAGGACAAAGAAGAAAAGCATTCTTTTCTAAAGGATTTTTAGGCATTACAGAGGATAACAAGAAGTCAGCTTGAAGTTCCCTGCAAGTTTCCCACAGGCTGCAAAACAAGAACCTTTGAAGTATTCAGTTACCAAGTTTAGTATCAACCTTAAGCCATGGGGAAAAGGCGGGGGGGGGGGGGGGGGGGGAGAAAAGTTTATTATTTTGAAAAGTATGTTCAACTTCAGTTTGCTAACACAAATTAACTGCCTAGGCCACAGTATGACTACATTGAGCCCAGGATTTGGGGAATTAGTGCCAGATCAAAAGCATCGTAGCTTCACCATGTCAAACACGGATCCAGTGTAAGCCCTTGCCATAGCTTTGCAGATGTTTCTTCAGCCAACAGTGCCAGAAGCTGATTCATCCCTTGCCTTCTCATAGCACCCCCTCAAGTTGTGACAGCTTCTCTTCGGATGGAAGGAGGGAGGCATGCGCATGGTAAACCTGATTAGGAACTGATCCAGGTCCAAAAAAAAAAAAAAAAAAAAAAAAAAGAAAGTCTCCTCAGCATCAAACCAGTTCCCTGATCTGCTTCACTGCCCAGCCATGCTGAGTTGCGTAAGCCCAACTAAGGAAGCAATGTGAGGACAGTAACAAGTGTCTGAGAGCAGGCGCTGCTTAAATTGACACCACTAACCAAAAGAAACATCCACAGAAACTGTCTCACTTGGCTGGTTCAAATTTGCTCAGAAGATGTTGACAACTTAACTCTGTAATGACAAGCTCGATGCTAAATTGAGAATCATCTGTTCACACCACACTAACTTTATGCTTGGTCAAGTATCGTCTGTCCTCCCACGTCTCGCATAAAAGCATGAAGTCCCTAAATTGCACACGATGTGCTCTAGTTAATTCAACAGAAACATTACCACAGGCCACATCTGATAGAGATCACATTTGGTGCTCTGACAACAGACAAAACCAGGACTGGGAAGTCACAGGTACCATGAAAACTAAACATCTTGTAAATAATACTCATGTAAGAGTATGGGGATGCCTAAATTTCTTCTTAGCTTGCAAACTCACTTCAAAGCTGCTAACCACCTTTTCCTTATTAAAGTCAACTTCATTGATCAATGTCAAGTAAAAGTTATCTCAAAACCACTCCCTCTTTCCTAAGGGCAATCCAGCAAAGGAGCTGGAAAAATCAAAACGTCTGCATGCTTGTTTGTAGGCTAGACTAAACAGCCTAAAAATTTCACAGGTACTGACCTTAAAGGTGATCCATTTTGCCTTTAAAAACTCACTTATTTCAGCAAATCACTTATTATCACTTATTTCAGCAAATAGAAATACAGGTTTAGTTAGGAACGATGTACCAGATAGAGATGTTCAATTTTGCGTAAGACTACGAAGAAAACTTCATTCTTCAAAACTTAAGTTTTCCCTTACAGTTTTGTAGAAAGAATAAAGCAAAGAAGTCTTCACATTTCACAGATGCTTGAGGAGCCTCCTCTCTTCAGAGAGGATTAGGTCAAATCTAATCTTTGGTGTTTATGAGTAAACACCAAAATTTATCATGGAAGCCAAGTTGAAATTTTAAGCTTTTTTTTTTTTTTCTTTTTTTGGTGAAGCAAACTATGAGTAACTCAGAAGCATGTAGGCTATTCTC